TTTCTAGTGAAGAAGTTTTCTTCTTTATTGAATTATAGTTTGTCTTTATGTCATTAAAGAAAATTTATATGCAGCTCAGCTCCACTCCCACAAATTTTTGTATTTAAAAAAGTATATAATTTCTAAAACAAATTAAAAATTCACATACAAAAATAAGACAAAGTTAATTTTTGTACCCTGCATCAATCAACGAACCCTAATTCGGAACCGAAGCGATAGATCGGGTGAGAAGTTAGATTCGGAAACTTTGAGTTGATTTCCTCGCGTCAATTTAATAGCAACAAAGTTCAATTTTTTCGTTGTTGTTCAGAAGAAGATAAAGATTCCGAATTTTCCGTCATCGTTGCTATTGCAAAAATGGCAGAGCATGAGATAATACGACAAAGGGGGATTTGTGATTTTGGCGGAGAAGGTGAGACGTACGGGAAATTTAAAACCATTATTTTTAAAATTAGTTTGGAGTTTAGAAAATTTTAAAAATAGTTTTATCTTTAGTAATATTTAAATAAAAAGTCCGTGAAAGTTTTACTAATCAAATTGTTAAAAGAACAAGCATAATTTTTTAAAATATAAAATTAAAAATAAAATGGTTATGAAATATCCTAACCAAAATTTTCAACTATTTAGCCCAAAAATGAGGTTTTATAAGGATTGTTTATATTCATATTTCTTGTTTTCTATTTTTTTCTAATTTTTTCAAAATATAAAGGCGTGGTAATTGTTTTTTTTTCTTTTTTTTAATAAACAACCAAAATTAGTTTGAGATTCAAACTTGTTGATTAAAACATTATTTTACCATTTTTTATTTATAAAATGTATACTAAATATTAAAAAATAATAAATAAAAGATAATTTTTAAATTTATATATATATATAGTTAATTAAATGTTTAAGAGAATAAGAAACAATAAATAGTTACACCGAGCATATTGTTGTTTCTTGTTCAATAAAAAGAAAGAACAAGAAACAAGATGTTAGAAGTACAAAAGTTTCGTTGACTAGGAAATTAAAAATGAAATTCATAGTATATAAGTAAGGATAATTAATTATCTTCGTAGGTAATGATATATCTTTTGGTAAAACCAAAAGCAAGACCACGAGGACTTGTGTCCAAAATGGACAGATACTTTTATTTTCACGGATAAAAAAGAGGCATTTAAAGGTTGTAATATTGGATCATGCATAATCTCGAAAGAACAAGGATCGAGTTCCAAACATTTCTTTGTTTTTAAGAAAATGAATTTCATGTAAGTTTCCAACAAGTTCGTTTTTACAAWTTCGAGTATGAATTAATTCTTATTTAATTTCCTAGCCCTTCTGCAAAAACTTAACTTGTTTTTAACACATAGTGGTCTATAATTATTCTAACAGCAATCCTCAAATGCTGATCATTATTCTAAACTAATTGAGTTTCAAAAATTGCCTCTTTCTTTTTGATCTCTCTCTCTTTAGATGTTAATGTCATGTCACTAAGCTTTTGTATAATAAGAGAGTCAACATTGGTGGCCAACAGGTAAATGAAATTCTTATTCCTCTTTGTCCTTTTAATTTTTTTTTTTTAATAAAGAGAGAATATGCCTATATGCATTGAACATTCAGGTATTGGCAGCCACAGAAATTCAATGATAATGGCCCCTCTTTTTTCTTCTTTAATTGGGTATCTTCCCCTTCCAATAATGGGTTCATTTCATAACTATACTTTAATCAACTTTATTAGGATTTACGTTGTAAAATAAATTAAGTTGTTATTCTTGTAACTACCTTATTGTATAACTCCTACTTCATAAGGTCTATATATAAATGACTTTATATTGTTTAATAAAGTTTGATCCAGATTAATTTACTCTCAAGACTTAATATGGTATCATATGAGAATTTTTAATTATCTATTTATTTAATAAATTTATGTTTGAAGTGAAGAATTTAAAAATATATATATATATATATATATATCTATATTTATACTATATTAAAAAACTAAATATTTTTAGACTATTATACTCTTTCTTTAATTTATAAATTTATAAAACATGCCATATAAAATTAATGATAAACAATTAATTAATTACCAATAACAAATAATTACTTAATTATCAACCATAATAATTACATACAACCCAAAAAGTTGGAATAATATGTAAAAGGTTGTTATTTAATCTATTAAGTGCTTAATGATTTTCACTAATAATAATTATTATCAATAAGGTGTAGAATTATAAACGATTTATAATTTTTCATCTTTTACCTATCTACATTTTATTCCGCAATTTTTCCTGAACACTCAAGCTACATTTCCCTTTATTTTTAATTCTCTCTTATTTTCTTTCTCTCAAAATGCCTCTAATCTTGAAAGTAAACGTTCAAGTCTGCATGAAATTTATACATCTAAACTATATATTGATTCGTAAGTCTGTGTGGTTATAATTTTACTTCGATGGAGTTAAACAATGATGTTTGTATTAAGACAAATCTTTCTTTTAACGATATATGTATTGATTTATTTTATTTTTGTTATTATTGTTTTGTTGTTTTTATTCTATAATTGCTATATTGATATTTTTTTTTGTATTTGTTAATATTTTTTATAATTAGTATTATTAGAACACCTACTTCTTGAATCCATGAAAATTCAGAGGAAAAAATCAGGTAAGAGAAGAAAATTCAAAATTTTCAGTAATTTCATAAAATTTTGTAAGATAAATTATAATCTTTAATTCTCTTGCATACAAAATTTAGGTAATATATCAAATAAATTTATCATCAACTAATTAAAAATTAAATTATAAAATCTTGAAACGTGGGAGACTAAATTTAAACTTTTTAAACAACATTTAAATATTAGGAATTTGAAGATATATTTAGCCTAGAAATAAAATAAACATAAAAAATTCAAAGTTATAATCAAAGATATAATTTAGATCGAAATTTTGAAATGAACGTTGAGGGTATTTCGGTAAATTGCGATTCTCCTTCTCCCTCTCTTATTCGGAATCCTACTTCTATTCGGCGTCTTCATTCTCTGTTCCTATAAATACTCACCGCCTCTTGCGTTTCCCTAACGCTCTCTTCTCGGCTTTTTCTCTGCGTTTTCGATTCTCTCCGGCGGCCGTCGCTTCCGATTTTCGGTGCTAGACTTCGATTTTTTTGCAGCCATGCTTGTTTACCAGGACCTCCTTACAGGTATCTTTGCTCTGTACTTCAAATCCGTTTGCTTCCCGAGCTTTTTTTCCTGTATAATTGTTTAGATTCTCGAGGATCTGTTTGGTCTAACTTTTTCGTCTCTGCTTCTGTATCTGTGTTGTTTGTGACTGTTGGGAGGGGCATGGGAGGATGAAAATATTTTTGTTGCTTGTTTAATAATACGTCAATAGAATTGTGTCGACTCTGAAAAAAAAATAATACGTCAATAGAATTGTAGACGCCGAGTTTCGAGATGCCTGTTTGAAGTCTGAATTTGAGTTCTCTTATGTGAACTTTTGGCAGAGGGTTGTGAGAATTTTATTGTCGAGAAGGAACTCTACTTTATATATTTTTGTTACCTAATTTAGTGTCATAAATATTCATTATAGTTGGTTTTTCGAGAGTTTAAGAATGCATGTAGAGATTGGGAAACCGATATGATATTTTGATGTACTCGTGGAAGTCCTCTTACTTTAGAGCAATTTTGTGCTTTTTCTTGGGTTTTTTTTTTTTTTTTTTTGCTTGACAAGACTTCATTAATGAACTTTCAGGTGATGAACTTCTATCAGACTCTTTTCCATACAAGGAAATTGAGAATGGGATCCTGTGGGAAGTGGAAGGGAAGGTAAGGAAACTGTGTTTGTCAGATAAGATTTATCTTTATTTGCTGATGCGTATTTCTGCTTCATTCTAATATTAATGAATCCATATAAGAGAACAAAGAACACATTCTCCCCCTTTAAAATATGATGTGTAGAAAACAAAATCAATGTGCCTTTGATCTACAAATCAATTAATTCAATTCAACTAATAATGAATGGTCATAGATGAGAAATTTCCCCATGTAAGAGGAGTTGGTTTCACTCTCTATTTTTCTCGAGTCTCGTATTCTTTGTGGGGTTCTGATTTGGAATTTCTGGTATTTGGTTAATAGTGGGTTGTACAAGGAGCAGTCGATGTAGACATCGGGGCTAACCCTTCTGCAGAAGGTGCCGATGCCGATGAAGGCGTGGATGACCAAGCTGTCAAGGTCGTGGATATTGTTGATACCTTTAGACTTCAGGTAAATAAATTTTGTGCCGTTTTCCATTGATTGACTTTAGTTATTTTTCAGGTTTTCAATTCAATTGCTAATAGAAAAGTTTTGGTGTTTGTAGGAACAACCTCCATTTGACAAGAAGCAGTTTGTCACATACATGAAAAGATACATCAAGTTGCTAACTCCCAAGTTGGATGCAGAGAAGCAAGAGTTGTTTAAGAAGCACATTCAAGATGCAACCAAGTATCTGCTTTCAAAGATCAGCGACCTCCAATTGTAAGTTCAAACCGCACTAGGTTTTTAATGGTTGATATGGGCTAGAAGCTTTATTAGGTTGTGGGTTCAAAATTCAAATAGATTTAACCCTCAAGGCATGACCAAGCTGTCAAGGTTGGTGGTGTTTAATTTAATGAGTGAAAATAGGTTTACTTGACCCTTCAATACTCGCATTTCCACCACATTTCCACTATTTTTACACAGACTTTGAATACTTGATTTGAACAAGTTGAACTAGTCGAATCTTAAATATTTCATTAGTTGGGTCGGTTTAGACCCACTATGTAAGGTTAAGGTTGTTCGAGTAGACAAATTTACAACCTGAACTATTGGAATGGTTCCAACTCCTAATTCTGTCCAATTTYCTTCCCATGAATATCTTACCATGATTGATGGATGCATATCACATGTTTGAAAAATTGGCAAGTTTACTTTATTGTTCGGGTGGGGATTCGAACTTCTGATCTTTTATATAGGTACATGGTTGGCTTTAATTGACGAGTTATTGTTTGTGTTTATGCAGCTTTGTGGGGGAAGGCATGCATGATGATGGAACTATGGTTTTTGCATACTACAAAGAGGGGGCAACTGATCCAACCTTCATCTATATTGCCTATGGCTTGAAGGAAGTCAAGTGCTGAAGGAGAGTCCCATATAATCCAACAACACACCATACTTATCTTATTTTTTCTTTTCTTTTCAATGTTTTTGTTTTTTCTTCTTTGTTTTTCAATGTTTTTCTTGCTTATGAAGACTCGAGTGTGTTTATATAAAGTTTATGCCCCAAAGGGAATATAATATATATTTATATGGTTTGAAATAAAAGAAGTTTCAATAAGTTCCATCCTCACATTACATATCCTAGAATCAAATTGTTGAGGCTGTTACTCTTAAAATTATACCCTTGACTTTACAAGATTGTAAAAATTCAACTCCAAACTTCTAATTCTAGAAATTAGACCGTTAAAAGTGTTTCTTGGGTGCTATCTCTCAAGATGTTAAATTTCTGTCACATGTCTAAATGTCATCAAGTCGATATGGAAAAAGTAAAACAACATTTATCAAGTCGATATGGAAAAAGTAAAACAACATTTTCATATTACTAGATATGGAAAAAGTAAAACAACATTTTCATATTACTATAAATTGAAAAACATACGTTTTCATSATTCAACATTTTCATATTATTATAAAAAATCGCATTTTCATGAGTTCAATATCGATAATGAAAAAATAAAACAACAAATTATGTAGCATGGTTCTGGTATATATGAGTTCGAATCTCCACCTATAATATGTATATATATATATAATATATATAAACATAATATTAATATTAATTATTTTAATGTATTTAGAAATAATGAAAGACTTATTTATTAATTTAACTTTCTTTTATAAATTTTTTTATTTTTTATCTTTTCAAGAAATATTCATTCACATGGATACTTTACATTTTCATTAAATCGAGACTTCAACGTTTTGAAAAACACTTTTTTAATTGAGACACGTCTCAAGTTATGTCCAAAAAAAAAAAAAAATTTGTTCCTTCCATACGGTCTACATCATTTCCATTGCTTTGAAAAAGGATACTCCTTCTCCACATTATTGTTTCTAACCTAAACTTAAAGTATTATTATTTTATCATCTTTTTACTTTTAAGTTATAGTATGTATAATAAATATTAAAAATAAGTAAAGCATAAATGATATTGTATATATACATTATTCTTATATATTTTTACCAAGTTAACAACGCGATTTATTTATTTATTATTTTATACCGCAACCAATATGCATTTTATTTATTGATCTTGGAGGCTATTTTGTCGCATTTTTTAATTATAAATTATTTTAGTCATTTCGATTTAAATTATTCATATATATATTTCTTAAAATTCTACTTCTAAATCCTTGAAATGATTGAAGTCCTTTATTTATAGGGTTTTTACTCCATAGGGGGGCTTAGGTTGGATGGACTTGAGACCAATTCCCCAATTACCATTATTGACCTTGAGTCTCATTGTCATAACACTCGATTTGGACTAAAGAAGATATGTATGCATTACTAATCTTTTAATTTGATTAGACACTTGTTTAGTATTAGCAGCTCTCAATTTGTTAATATATAATTTCACTGTTAATTTAAAAATAATGACAGGAAAATTTTCGATTAGCCAAAACCTATCATTCAATAGTACTTTTATTGTATATGGTATAAAATAGTCAAGCTGATTTTCACTAAAGAACAAAGGACTTGTTACTTAGTCTTTAGTTCTTGATCTTCCACTCTTGCAATTGTTGAACAAGATATCTATTATCATATCATCCGAATGTCAATAGTTCAATCTTTCACAAACTTCATTTTTGAAGTAATAATGAGTACAATAAATTAACTAACATGAGATAGTTCAGTAGTTGAGACATCTTGCACATTTCTTATAGGTCGGAGGTTTAATTCTTTATCCACACATATGTTGTATTAAAAAACAAAAAGGAAAAACAGGTTCTACCAAATTGATCCTCCATTCTCGAGTTTAAGTATCAACCCGAACCAAAAGGCTCTAGTCGGGGCACACAACATGATTTACCGTTTTCCAGGCCTGAATTACAAAAATTGGAGAAGTATTCATTAGATAAATTCTGTCCAAACTCAATTGAAGCTTAATTGAAGTTTGATGGAATGTATGTGTTGAAAAGGTTATAGGTGTTTTTGATGTCTAAATCTTTCTTTAGCAACCTTTGACAGCTTACTATTATTATTTATTATTTTATACAATTTTTAAATTTAAAAAATGAAATAGATCCTTTGATACTATTTCTGGCACCTTCTGGTTTGGGCTCTTTATTGACAAAATGTTTTGATATGTCTTACATTTTCCATCATAAAATCGTTTGTATATTCGGCATATATATTCTTCCAATGGTGACAAATACTAGTGGAGTGATGAAGAATGGTCATCAAAATAAATAAAGACTACGGTATAAATTTATATTTAACCTCAAAATCACTAAAATTGAATTTAATTTAGGGTCTAAAATGATTCTTTTAACTAGGGATGTAATCGGGTCAGTTCGGATCTTTCAATTGAAAACCGACCCGAATCGGGTTGTTTTCCACCTGTTTCGTCACATCGTCGCCGCCACCACCACAACCACACCATGGATCTCTTTTGCTGCTATCAACGAGACCACTCCGGTGGTGCTCGCTGCCGTTGTAGTAACGAGCATGGAGAATTTGAGAGAGAGAGCGAGAGCAACGTTAGAGGGAAGAGAAAATAAAATATCCGCAATGTAGGGTAAAAGAAGGGAAACCCTCAGTTTTGTTGAAAACTGAGAACCGAACCAAAAAATGAACCATGTTGGTTTGATGGTTAAAACTATATTCACCAATGGATTCAATTTGGAGAGATCTTATTAGAACTTTTTTGAAGGGGTCTTATCAGCTTTTGATTAGGACCACCAAATTTCAGTTTAGGACACATCAATCGTTAGTTCAACAAATCAACTCAACGCACGACTCCCATAGCACAAGTTTGGCACCAGTAAGAGATGATCTACCGAACTAAGTAACTGCATAATCGTTCTCCATCCTCTATGCCCATTTCACTCCGAGAATTTTGAAAGTAATCATAATTTTGAATTCACAATCTTAACGGCTACTAAACTTAACCTTCGAATAAATAGATGAAAGTAAGATGGAAGAGGTACACAGACATTTTAATAAGAGATTTCGTATTTTCAATTCTTTACCGACAAAACTTTCAGAGTGCTAACTTTTTTTTTGCAAATTTTTTTTGGTAGAAATAGCTTCAATCAAGTCGGTTCAATATTTTGATTAGAAGAGTGGCTGATATTTCTTAGGTGGAGGTAGCTTAACTGCTAAGATTTATGTTGGCATTTGGTGACTGATTTAGATTACTTTCACCAGTTCAATAAGTTCAATTCGATTCRGTTTCAGTGCTAGTTTTTTTATATAACTTAAACCAATAAACCGATATTATGGGTCGAGTCAGTTTTGGACAAAAAGCAATTCACACCCCAAATAACAACACACTGCTTAATAACATTTTCAAATACTAAAAACTGCGAAATATTTGAGTTCAGATAGACATAGTAAACTCAAGAAACTCCACCACATTAAGATATTGTTCACCGCTAATAAAGGTGTAAAAGGAGAGAAACTTGCCATGTTATCAGAACTTCAAGCCTTAAGCATAATAGTTCAAGCTTGCCTTCTTCTTTGCCTGAACTTGAATAATACCTTCATTGAAGTCCTCATGGTTCACCTGTAATCCCATCAAAAAACCATCAAGCTTAAAACACATATAACACACAAACTAAATACACAAATATATGTTGCATAGAGAGGGAGAGGAACCTCGGTGGCATCCCGGCGGAGTGCAAGCATGCCTGCTTCTACACAAACGGCTTTTAGTTGTGCACCGTTAAAATCGTCGGTGGACCGAGCTAGCTCTTCAAAATTCACATCTGGGTGTACATTCATCTTCCTAGAATGGATCTATAAAGAGCCAATTTATAAAGTTCGATAAGAGACAAAGTGCAAAGATTCATAGAAGGAATGAAATATCCTTAAATTAGAAAACCTGCAAGATTCGGGCTCTTGCGTCTTCGGTAGGATGTGGAAACTCAATCTTTCGATCTAACCGACCAGATCGCATTAGAGCTGGATCTAGAATATCAGCACGATTAGTGGCTGCTATCACCTGTATTTCAAGAAGAGAGCTGGTTAATAGTGAAACCCCCTAATCTCGTCTGATTGGCCTGGAGGACTTTTTGGTAATACTCCATTTCTCATGTCCTGTTTCGTATTTCTTATTTCCTCTTTCTTTAAAAAGAAAAAGGAAAAAAAATTGTACTTGATAGTTGTTTTTTGTTTCTTATTTATTCTATTCTTTTTAAGGAAAACAAAAATCCAGATTTTATTTACAAAATTTGCATACAAAGGCAAAACAGGAAATAATTACAAAAAAATACTTATTAAAAACAAGAAACAGTAATTGTAGAAACCCAAAAGAACAAGTGCCCTCCCCCAGACCTGAAAAATAAAGCAATTTCAAACCTTGATTCGCTCGTCGCTGCTGAAGCCATCTAGCTGATTGAGTAACTCTAACATGGTACGCTGCACCTCCCTATCACCACTCACTTCACTGCAGTAGAGGACGGAGGTAATAACATTATCAACACAGTCTTACAATAGATTCACAAGGCATCAAAGCTCATCTTTATTAAAAGATTAACTGTTAAGTAACTAGCTTACCTATCAAACCGCTTTGTGCCGATTGCATCAATTTCATCAATAAAAATTATACAGGGAGATTTCTCTTTTGCAAGCTGAAAGGCATCACGGACGAGTTTTGCTCCATCCCCAATAAACATCTATACACAAATTTGAACATCTAATATCATTAGCAGGCCCAAACTATTGCACAATGGCTAAAATCATGGGATTCAATTTGACAGACAGAATTCTAATAACAAATCACAACACTAAAATCAACCCATTATGCAAAAGATTTATAACCTGGACTAGTTGGGGGCCAGCAAGCTTTAGAAATGTTGCATTTGTTTGAGCTGCACAAGCACGCGCCATTAATGTTTTCCCAGTTCCAGGAGGTCCATACAACAGTACACCCTTAGGTGGACGAATTCCTAATTTTTGAAACCGCTCCTTATGAGTCATTGGCAAAACAATTGCCTCGACAAGTTCTTGGATCTGTTAAAACATTAAACGAATCATGAAACAAGTTAACAGACTAGATAATTGCCTTTGAATGTTTTTTAACAGACTAGAGGCTTGCCTGC